CACCCGTGGACACTCAGGTATACCTGCCCAACTCCAAGAACACACACAAATCTATGCATTCTTCTAAACTGACCCAAAGAAACCCCTAAGGGTCTTGGGCAGGCATGGCTGCACTGCACACCCCACAGAGCCAGCCCATGTCCCTTGAGCCTTGCTAATGCATGATCCAGATCCATACCGGGAGATAAAAGTCTAGACAATAGACGGCTGTTTATGACAACAAGGCTCTCCAAGTTTGGGGCTGGGCGATAAATCTCTGGCGAATCTTCCTGTAACTCAACTTCTGGCTGTAGTGAAGAGAGAACCATGGAGATCACAGAAGGCAGCAAAATGGGGGAGACTTTTAAATCGTGAGCAGAAGGAGGCTTTCTTGTAGGGGCAAGAAAATGGAGGCCAGCACACTCGACCCACGCAGGCATCCACACTGTGGAAGCTATCAGATGGATCTAGCTTTCAAGCCCTGGCGAGTCAGGGCTCCCGGAAATCCGGCAGAAAAGTGCGGGCAGAAAGACAGGGCCTAGAGGCTAGGACAGACCCACAAACCATTCTTGCTGGGGGCAAAGATTCTTTTTTTGTTGGTGACTGGAATCTTCTTGCTCTGTGACACCTGAATTTTCAGATCCTTCTTTCTGTCTTCTCTCTCTTGCTCTCTCTCCTTCTCCCTTTCCTTCTCCTCCCTTACCTTCTTCTTCTCCCTCTCTCTCTCCTTTTCTTTTTTGGATTGATGGGCTGTTCTCTTTTGCATTTTCGATCCAGGCGTCTGATTACAAGTAAAGAGGCACTGAAGTTGATCTCATAAAAATGCCGCGAGCTCACTTTGATCAGCTAGGACTGGGTCCGAGCCTAAGTAGGCGCTAAAGCCTGGGAATGGCGGCTTGGGCCAACCCAGTCTTTGCTATGAGCAAGGGGGGGAGATTTGGGTGGCCCAAGCGGGCAATTTCGCCCAGAAAAGATATTTTCTGTGGGGCCACAACTGGCTTTGGAAACTAAGGCTCAGGGCAGCGGCTCCATTTCCAGACTACTTTTAAGGCATGTCTTTCATTTTAGAGCATTTGGTGGTGGGGGGCAGTGAAACTGGCTCATAAAATCGGGCTTTTATGGGGAGAAATGGGGTTGCACTGCTAGCCTCCTGGGACAATACCTCTGAGGAGAAAGCTGGGTGGGGCTACAGGGGTATAGAAACTGCCCTTCTCCTACCACACACCTCTTCCATGTGCCGGAGGAAACTGAGCAGAGTCCACCGCTTAGGTGGCCTGACTTGTGGCCTTGGGCTTGGGGCTCTGACCAAGGCTGAAGCTAGGCGGAAGCTGCAAACCAGCAGTCCCACCCTTTCCAGTTTCTTGGCTGAGGTGGAGTGGGGTATGGGTGTCTCCTTTGAAAAATAAGCTGTTAGTCTGAAAATCCCAAAGCACTCTAAAGGGATTATTCAATGCAACAATATTGCTCTAAGGGACAGAAATATGTGCAAAAAGGTGCAAGCTGATTTTTTTTATGAGGGCTCCTCCTCAACCTCCAAGGATAAGAACTGTGGGTGTCCATGCATGGGACTCCTTCCCCTTATCTTTTCATTGACTCTATACAGGACTGAATTTACAACCAAAGCCCACAGGAGAGCTTAGACACCCCTTTTCTTCTCCCAGGGTTTTCTTCCTAGTCATGGTCTGTGGGGTAGTCACCTCTCCCCACCAAGATCTGTAAAACCCACAGCAGCAGGAAAAGGTAGACAAGCTGCAAGGCAACCCTAGCGCTGTGTGTGGGAGGCCGCTGGGAGCTGCTCAGGCCAGAATTCGCTAGATACTGCCCCCTTCTGAAGCTGTCTCTGCGTCCCTGTGTGGGAGGGAAGGGCGCTGGTGTGGCCCTGGTCAGACTACCAAGGCAGTTGCCTAGACCACAGCCGCCTGCTAGCGGTCAGGCAGGCAGCGGGAACTGAGGCCAACAAGAGCCAGTAGAGCCAGCAGGATGGCCCTCCCTCGGAGGATTTCAGGTGAAGGATCGGACTCTGGGCGGTTGGAGAGACCTCCCCACCTACCAGGTGAGGAAAAAAATAGCCACCTGGAGTGAAGCCCACCAGGGAAAGGATTGGGGCCACCGATGTGTCCCTGTAGGGGAGATAACTATTGTCCTGGCCAGAAACTGCAGATTGAGAGGGTGCAGCCTGGGACAAGCAAGCTCAGACCATGCTTATGGGTGGTCTGGAACCAAAGTTAGGCAGAGAAGTCACTACCCTACACCTTAGGTATTTTTGCCGATCAACATCTTGCTGACCTTAGGGCCTTCTTTCCTTGATCCCAGCAGCAACTGACAGCTGCTGGAATTTTTTTTTTTAACTGTTGAAAAATTAAAAGTCAGAGAAACAATAGGAAAAAATGTAAGGTTGGTGTTTTACTTTTAGGAAGCAGAGTATAACTTCTCAAAGTCTGTACTGGGAGACCCCAAGTTTCCAGGATATTAAGTCATTGATGTTCTTTCTTGCATTTCCTTTTTGTTTCTGTTTGTTCATTTGTTTGTTTCAAGGAAATAAGGCCGCCAGCAGCCCCTTGCAGCCGCCTGGCTTACTTTTATGATGGCCCTGGAATAAACTTGGTGGTCAAATTCAAGTGCTCAGGCCCACAGCTGTCTCCTCACAGGAAGCAGCCCACACCCCCCTTGTCCCTGCCTGTGCAGAATGTGCCTTGGGGGACTGGGCCCCTCATTGCCCGGGAGGCCAGAAGGGGGAAGGAGGCAGACTCTCCTAGGGAAGTGGAGAAAGCAGAAGGTGAAACACCACCCTCATCAACACCTCTGCAAGGGATAGGGGTACCTCTTGCCTCCCTCTCCTTGATTACTATCACTGTTTGGGGAGCATTTTGCCTCTAATAAACTCAAGTTTAATGAGGTCAGTGCGAACCCCATAAAAACCACAGTTCCGAGTTCCCCACCATTATAATTTAAAATGCTGCCCCCAGTTTACCCTATAAAAAGGGCTGGAGGAAGTAGGAAACACAACAGATTTTTCCTTTTGGTCCCTTCCGCACAGAGAAGTCCCACACTTTAGCAAAGCCCCAATCTAGTTCCTCTTTGCCCTCAGTAAAGATCTAGCCCAGACTTAAGGAGGGCTCAGAAAGCAAAGCCCAGCACTGAGTAGGTAGAAGGGCACAAGAGTACTCTAACACTCTAACCTAAAGAATGGGACCTAGGGTCAAGGCAGACCCCACCCAGGTTTTACTCTAAAAGTTGAGCAAATTTAGGGAGGAATAAAAGTTGAGGAGGAATGGATTTGGCAGGGTTGTGTTTAGAGAAGTTACCATAGGTCTTCCCTACCTGATCTGGGGGCCTCGTACTTCATCATGCTTCAGCAAGGAAAATATAATCATGATTAAAAATTTTAAAGTGAAAACCAATTTTGACCAAAAGTTAGGGATGTAAGGTGGGTTCTAGCTTTTCTTTCTTTCTTTCTTTCTTTCTTTCTTTCTTTCTTTCTTTCTTTCTTTCTTTCCTTCCTTCCTTCCTTCCTTCTTTCTTTCTCTAAGAGCTCAGTGGGCTCAGTCCTTGGGGTCTCAGCTCTTCTTCTCCTTTCTTAACAAATCATACACTGGCAGTTCCTCTTTGGAACCAAGATTGCTCTCTGCTCATGCCAATTGATCAGGTCCCTTTGACTCAGTCCAGAACCTTTCAATAAAGTGATTTTCTGATTCCCAGACATGTCTTGTGGTGCCCAAAGGGATGGGAGACAAGAGGACAAAATTACCGAGCCTACCCTTTGGGTCACAGTCATCCAGGAGGATGACAGACTTGGAAGAGAGCAGGGCAAGGCCGGACTGAGAAACAAGGAGGCAATGGTATCTGACTTTCACCAAGGTTGAGGTTCTGGAGATTCCCTCTAGAGAGAGGCCCCTGGCCCTACCCTGCCTGCCTTGGGATCCACAGCTCTCTACCACTGTCCAGCTGGTCTGTACTGTACCTGGCCCCACTATTCGCCTCACAGGTCTCCCAAATCATTCAAGAATAGGAGCCCCAAACCTAATTCTCCCACCATATTCTGCTGCACCCCCCCATTAGGCTTCTTTTCAGCCTACTAGCTGAGCTGAGCCCCCAACCCCAAGGGCCCTAACGTAGATGCATGACTTTCTTTCCAATCTTTTTCTTTGGGGTTTGGGATTTAAAAATCCACAGTGGATGGAGCTTTCTGCACATTGATTGACAATAAAGGCAAGCATGAAATATTCACCCAGGGCCACTCTCTCATACTAAATATTTAACACAACATTAGAGAAGGTTTTTCCCAGACTTCGCCAGGCACCGGCTGGGCGGCTGGCGCTTCGCTTACCACTCGTTTATGACTAATCGGAGTCCCTAGCTGGCAACAGCACAGCAAGCCAGACAAAGTTGGGACACTGGCTTGTAGATGAGCTGCCTCACCTTTGGGAAACTTCAGATACTCTTCCGGGGAGCTTCTCCAAATACCTAAAAGGGAGTCTTGACAACCAGCTCTGGCCAGAAAAAATAATAGAATGGACTTCTTCAAACTCTTTTGTACAGGCGCTGACTGCGGGTTGGAGGGGTAAGAGTCCCTAGACTTGGGGGAAAAGGATTCACTATTCTCCGGGAAGTGAGCAATGGGGAAAGAAATCTTCATTCTGGTCTCTGCTGATCACAAGGAAGAAGCAAGACCCCCATATTGAAAGCTCTCCTCTTTTCCCCAATCCTGGGGGTGGGGTGGGGAGCAGCAGCTAGGGATAAAAATACTATTGCCCCCTCCCAGCCACCGCCCCCGCCCATCCCACAGCCCACCCCACCCCAACCTCTCTCTCCTCCTTTGCTCGCTCTGTGGAATGGAGAGGAGGGGAGTGACGAGAGAAAAACGAATACAAATCTGCAATTGATTTTCATAATGTTTCTGCGGTGTTTGCAAACCAATCGCCTGAACGTCCCCGACCTTACCTAAGACAGAACCCCTCCTACGTCTGCGAAGTGCTCCGAACTGATATATGACAATATCTACTTTGGATCACGTGCTCGGGGAGAGAGACTAAGACGGATAACGCGTCATCTCGCCTTCCCAAAATTTCCCCCCTCACTAGACCGGGTCCAAAACCTCCATCCGGAGCCGGCAGGAGAGGAGAACGATGTTTAACTCGGTCAACCTGGGCAACTTCTGCTCGCCGTCGCGCAAAGAGAGGGGCGCTGACTTCGGCGAGCGAGGGAGCTGCGCCTCCAACCTCTATCTACCCAGTTGCACTTACTACGTGCCCGAGTTCTCCACGGTCTCCTCCTTCCTGCCCCAAGCCCCCTCTCGTCAGATCTCCTATCCCTACTCGGCCCAAGTGCCCCCGGTCCGGGAGGTCTCCTACGGCTTGGAGCCATCCGGCAAGTGGCACCATCGGAACAGCTACTCTTCCTGCTATGCCGCGGCCGACGAGCTTATGCACCGGGAGTGCCTTCCTCCTTCCACAGTCACTGAGATCCTCATGAAAAACGAAGGTTCCTACGGCAGCCACCACCACCCCAGCGCCCCACATGCTGCCCCCGCCGGGTTTTACTCTTCAGTCAACAAGAACAGCGTCCTGCCTCAAGCCTTCGACCGTTTCTTCGACAACGCCTACTGCGGTGGCGGCGACGCGCCCGCGGAGCCCCCCTGCTCCGGCAAGGGCGAGGCCAAGGGGGAGCCAGAAGCGCCCCCGGCCTCGGGACTGGCGTCCCGGGCTGAGGCGGGGGCCGAGGCGGAGGCCGAGGAGGAGAACACGAATCCCAGCTCGTCCGGTTCTGCCCACTCGGCGACCAAGGAGCCGGCCAAGGGAGCCGCCCCCAGTAGGTAGCAGCGGCCGGGAACAGGCGGGCAGCAAGGGAGGGAACGAGAGGGAGGGCTAGAGTAGGGGGGTGGCCAGGGCAGCAGGGACAGCCTCGTGTTTTGGGTCAGTCCGATTTTATGTGGAGTTTTATAAGCATTCAAAGGATTTTATTATAACCTACAAAGCCCTCTCTCCCAACGACTCGACTTTTTACGATGGAGAAGGGGTGGGAGGGAGGGAAACGGGCTCTTTGGAAAAGCCGGGTGAACCCCCCTCCCCCGTTATCTTCCTCGGTCTGTGAAAATTTTAAAAGTGCCACCATTGCGGGCGATATTAACTTTGATCGTGAACTTAGAGGAGCATTTAAGGAAGGATGGGGAGCCGGGTTGCCGGGGGGTGGGAGGGAGGGGAGGGGTGGAGGGGGAGAAAGGGGAGGGCGAGGGAAAGACTGGGAGAAACTCAGAGAGGGGGAGAGGTGGAGGAAAGAAGCAATGGGGCAGAACCTGAGACCCGAGAAGGAGAGCCAGGGTTGCTCTGCTTCTTTTTAAAATCAATTTAAAAAAAAAAATGTTCAAACTATGTTTTCGCTAATCTTGGAGCAGAAACCCAAAGAACCAGGGGCTTAGCGGCGACCGAGGCTTGAGGAGAGGTAGATCCCGGCTCCGCTGTGTTTTAGGCAGGGGTCTCAGCGTTTCTTCTCGATCTCCGGCCTCGGTGCAGGCCTAGCGAGGCAGCATACCAGGCGCGGCCCGGGCGGGCGGCCCCGGGCGCCAAGGCCCCCCCGGAAGAGACTTTAGGGTGTCTAGGTGCCTGCTCCCCGGTTTCCTCTCGGCTTCCCCACTGTTCTCGCCAGGTCATACTTTGTGCGCCTCGTTCTCCGCGGTTCCCCCAGATTTCTGGGGGAGATGGTAGTGGACTTTCAGAACCTTTAGGAGGGCAGCTCTGTGATGGAGCCGCCAAGGGCTGCCTGAGCGCAGGCCAGGGGCTCACGGAGATGCACGTGGCCCCAGCAGGCTTTCCTTTTCCCCCAGACCCTGTCAGCTAAGGCTCCCGCCTGAGGGCAGTGGGGCGCCAGTCGCTCAGTGGCCGGAGCTAGACCAGGCGAGGGGGTCGAGGCTTACCCCTGCTTTGCGGCCTGCAAGAGGAGAGCCGCGGGCCAGGCGGGAGGGCTGCCCAGCGGACGGGCTGGGAGAAAGGCCGCTGAGCGCTCAGCGGGCTGGGCTGGGGTCGCCCTGGTCTCACGTGTCTCTCTCCCCCTCTCCTCGCACTTGCCTCCTCCCCTCCCTCCAGACGCCCCCCGCACCCGCAAGAAGCGCTGCCCTTATTCGAAATTCCAGATCCGGGAACTGGAGCGAGAGTTTTTCTTCAACGTGTATATCAACAAAGAGAAGCGGCTGCAGCTGTCTCGGATGCTGAACCTGACGGACCGACAAGTGAAAATTTGGTTTCAGAACAGGAGGATGAAAGAAAAAAAACTAAGCAGAGACCGGCTGCAGTATTTTTCGGGAAATCCGCTGCTGTAACTGCAGACCGGGGCCCTTTTTGGGGGAGGGAGGGAGGGAAAGGGGGAAATTATTTTATTTTATTTTTATTTTTTATTTTCTAACTCGTCTTTTTTCCGCGGGTGGAAAACTGGACTGGCCAGGGCTGGCCCCCACCGCCGTTGCTGGCACTTCCTTCCGGAACCTCCTTCACCTTCGGTCTGTGGAGATAGAGACCGGCCTGGAAAAGGAGGTGAAGGGAAGTGTTTGACTCACGGCGATTGGATCCCTTTGGCGCCGAGGCCCCAAGACTCTTTATTTAAAAGAAAACACACCTCGCGACAATGTCTTGCTGCTCGGATTTGGTGGAGGGAGGGGCGAGCGTAATGGGCGCCTGAGCTGAACAATCCTTGAACTACAAGCCTTCCCTTGCCCAAGTGAACAGATCCACTAAGACACCTTGTTTGCAAGGGGAGACCTCTCGGGCTCCCCACTCCTGCCCCACGTTGCCCCACTGTTAGGGGGCAACTAAATGTGATCCTGCCTTGCTGTGAAATTCCTGTACCTTTGACCTGGTGTTAGGTGTGCAAAGTCCGTGTCCTACCTCCGTCTGCGCCCTGGCTCCTCCCAAGCCTAGTTGTTCTCCCCCTAAATGTGTAGAGCCCTTCTTTGAAATTTCTTAACTGGCACATCGAGGTGTCCTAACCTTTCTCCAAGCAGTGCCCCCCTCCACTCCATGGATTTATAGGTAGTCTTTGCAGTTATTACCTCCTTTTTTACTTTTTCTTTTCTTTCCTTTTTTCTTTTTCTTTTCTTTTTTTATAAAGAGGAAAAAAGAGAAAATTGGGGTGGAGGAGGCAATAGGAATGGAATTGGGCACCTCCCCCTTGCTGGGGCCTGAATTTTTGTAAATAAATTTCACAAGCCTTTATTTCTACCGGAGAGGATGGGAAAGGACATGCCAGAAGGAAATTCAAATCACCCATCTCCCTCCATGTGCGTGAGTGCGTGTGTACATGTGCAATTCCCACCCTGCTCCCGATCCAAAGGGGTTGCTGTTAAATTTTTTTTGGTGGCAAATAAAGATATTTCATTCTGTTCAATATTATGATTTTTATTTGACCTTTTTATTAACCCCTCTCCTCTTAAAATCCTCCATCCTCTCAAGGCAGAGGAGGAGGAGGAGGAGGAGGAGGAGGAGGAGGAGGAGGAGGGAAAATGCAGGAGATCCCCACCCGTGGGCACAAGCCTGCAGAGGCAAGGCAGATCCATGCTAGAGCTCTTCTCCACTGGCAGGGCCAGGAGTGTGGCAGTGGCTTCTTCCCTCTCTGAAACAGAGGATATTCCAGGGCTACTCTTAAGATCTCCTTTCTCGTGTGAAGCTCAAGCTGTGTCCAAACACCCAGCAATGCTTTCTGTCCAAGCACACGTTCGTTGTGGAGTTAATTGTAACCATCATCAAATTTAAATTTATAGGAATTTTCTTGGCTCCACTGTCCTCCTGCCAGATGTCTCCGTCTGTCTCAGTTAAATGTGTAGAGTTGAGGGTAGGGCTTTTGTGAAGTTTTTTTTTTTTTTTCCCCTCTATGAGAAGATGGTATAGAAAATTTTATATACAGTTTTGAAGGAATGAGGGGAGAGGAAGAGGAGCCATCCCCCTCCTTGTCCTCTCCACAGCCTCTGAGGATGGGAAGGTAGACTCTGGCCCCTTCCCCTTTGGCACAAATGGCCAGGCTCCTCCAGACACAACCAGATACCCAGAGTGGAGCCACTCTGATGTTTTATATTTTAGGTGTCCCAGAGTAAAAAGCCTCCAGCTGTGTCTGACATGAATGTCAGACATGGATGGAATACTGAGGAAGGAAGTGACCCACGGGGCTAGTCACCACACCCATATGTATTTGCTGCACATTTCTTCCTTCTCCTTTTCCTCCTCTTTCTCCTTCCCCCCATTCTTTTTGATACTGGGGATTGCACCCTGGGTCTGGCACATACTGGGCAAGCGCTCTAGTACTGAGCTACATCCCTAGCCCTTTTTATTTTATTTTTAGCTTGGGATGGGGTCTTGCTAAATTGCAGAGGCTGCCTTCAATTTTGCAATCCTCCTGCCTCAGCCTCCCAAGTAGCTGGGATTACAGGCATGTACCCCCACACCCAGTATGCACGTTTCTTATAATCGCGGTCCTTTCAACGCTTTCAGTGAAGCCACTTGGTCATCTCTGTTATAAATATGTTACTTGGGAGCAAAGGTTCAGGACCAATTCTCTCATCTTTCCACTCTCTGTTTTGTGTAATTTAAAAATGTTATTATCCATGTGTTGGATGAAATGGAAAAGCACCATGATTATCAAACCTAAGTTCTGCTGTTGTTGTTGATGGCAGGAGACCCTGCAGCTTAGGTGTCTGAATCTCTTAATTGTAAACGTGGGTCCTTGAGACAACTGTTGTGTATATGTGGCCCACAATTCTTTCATGTGCCCCTGCACATTTTGTTGAAGTCAGTGTGCCTATGAATGAATGTGAGAAGAAATATTATCTGTACACTTTTACCTGGAGTACAGAATGAGTCACCCATAGTGTGTAACCATTGGCAGTGTTTAATGAGTGTGGACAGGAGCACAAACTGAGTGTGCGTGGCACTTCTCTAGGTATAATGTTTGTCCACTAGCCATATCAGGGACCATCAGCCTGTTGGCCATGTTTCCTGTAAAGGAGGATGGAGATAACTCTTTAGAATGAACAGTTTATAAAGCAAACTATTAACCTTTAAAGGGCTCCTGATTTGGTGGGGAAAAAAAGTTCAAAACTGTCCGCTACCACTTTCTCTGCAACGTGCAACCCAGAAAAGATTTTCAACTCCAGAAGAGATTTCTGAAGGAAGAGAGGAGAGTCGTTGTGAAAGAAAAACAAAGACTTCTGTGACCCAGGCCCAGGAACCTGCCTTGGTGATCTTCTAAAAAGGAAAAACAGGGGTCTCTGGCCCCCAAGAAACCCACCTTCAGACTCCTGAATGTCCAACCCCCTGGCCTACTAGGGGCACTCTGGACGCGACCTCTTGGGGTAATCCCCTCCAGCCACAGCACTGCCCAGGAACAAAAGATCCTCGTCTAGACGCCGCCATAAAGCGCCCCC